CGACGTCACCGCGTTCGTCATCGTGGACTCTTCAACCCGTTACTTTTTAACGTCAAGCCCCGTGGGGCTCGCAGTCGAACGTTTCTCGCTCGCCTTGGACCATATCTTTATAGCGATCGAGTTCGCGGGGCCTCATTTAAAATGGAACTGTCTACGCGGCGCGCCGGTTGCTCAGACCCGAGCGTTATTATCGTAGTATCTTTGTCATGTCTTCTGACTTCTGCAACGAGGGAAGCCCTCGTCAACTACGCGACGAAATCACCTGCGAAACGAGAACCGAGAAATTTATAGAGGTAGATTAAGCCACGATATCGTCAATCTCCCGGTAAATTCGCTTTGCAGCGGCGCGTCTTCCACTGGTCGCGCGCTCTTCTGGCGGCCTCAGTTCAATTTTTGCACGATACACTTGTTCTTCGTCTTCTTCGGATAGATGTACAACAGGTTCCTCCGATATAATAATAGCGTCATTATCGGGTTTTGTGCACGAAATTTTTACGATACATTCGTTCTCTCGTCTTTCATTGCTGTACGAGTGCCTCTGATAATAGTAACGACAGTCATCATCAAGTTTGCTCGATTTATCCTTGAGGAGTCATCGACTTGCAGTTTTCTTTATTTTATTATTTCATACATGGTTTTTCTTTTTGTTTTGTACAAAGTAGTATTATATTTTTCGAAAAAGAACTTAGACTAATTTTACTATTTGCAGCTATATAGGATGTAGGAACAACTGATAAACGATAAAACAGAATACGTACAAAAATCCTGGAAACTTTTCCTTTCCATGTTACAAGATGTATATCTGTATATATGTATATCTTTTTTCAACACGTAAACATTTCCACGTAATCAAATAAACGCCATACGAATTACATTTCAAGTCTAGAGTTAAGTATATTCGCACAGATTCAGTGTGCCTTTATCGTGTAAGCGCAGTAGAGGAACGTACAAAGAGAGTTAGTTTAATATAGAACGAACGTTACGGGGGTGTTGCGTACGGTCAAGGCTCGAACAGCTATCAGATCTTTCTCGTTCACCAAGAGACCGTTCAGTCTTTCTTAACCGGTCTCTTCTCTCCCTTCTTCTATCTCTGTCTCTTCCTCCCTTCGATTCTCAACTCTCGATAAGGGACTCGAGACGGCTGGATCCTCGGTACAGCTAAATTGCTCGAAGACTCGGAACGCGAGAGAGAATCGAATGGGCATCGCTAGTCTCTCGGCAGGGAGCTGCCTCGTCCCTGCTGAAGTGGAGACTCGAAGTACCGGTTCTTGCTTCTTCCTGTCGCTCTCTCGTAGCTCTCCCTTTCTCCCTCGCCGTCCACGAAGAGAAGAAGGGCGGAGAGAAGAAGCGAAGAGAGAGAGAGAGAGAGAGAGAGAGAGAAGGACAGAGGGCACTTCCTCCGAGGAGGGAGGAAGCGACTCGACGGCGAAGAAGAAAGACGAAGAAAAAGATCGGTACGCCGGTCACGAAGCTCGCGCAGGTATTTATAGCACGGCCCCGGACCTGTTCGAGGGATTTGGTCCGAGAATCTCACGTATACCAGTCGATTCTTTTCTGTTCGAAGGTTGCTCAACACCGCGAACAGGGCCCGCCATTTTGGTTCCTCTCCAGCGCGGGCCCGCTTGTTACCTTCGACTTCGTTGTGTGACGCAACCGCTTGCGTAAAAGTCACGTCGTTAGAAACGTTCTCGAAAAAGCTTGGCCCACTGGTGTTTCTCTCTCTCTCTCAGTACAGTGAAATCTTCTTTCTCTCTCCCTCTCTCTTTCTCTTTTCAATCGTAAAAACGCGTTTCGCCCGAGGGACGTGGCTCTCGCGATTGTCTGGGTGGCAGCGGGACATTTGAAATTCTAATGATCATTGATTTGACAGATGCCGCGTACTATATCGACGCTTTCGAAGATTGACTTTGATTAATGGCAATTTCGTAGTATTTATTATTTGGATTGTCCTTGAAGAGGTACGGAATATGAGGAATAATAAGAGCTGGAGCTGAAAGTGTGAGACGCTCGTCTATTAGGAGATACAATCTTCTATCGAGAAAATCATAGAGTTAGCGTTTTCGAGAGTTCATTTCGATTCTTAACTCATTACGGAGTACAACATGATCATTTTGTAATTTCAATAACATTCTGTTTCTTAATGAATCGATGACGTAAAAAAAGATGATAAAAATTCATATGTCTTCTGTAATTTTATGAAATTTCAAGGAATTGAACTATTCATAATATTATGGTGATATTATGCTCTTTAACGAGCTAAACTATTCATCTCGATAAATTTCATTTCATAAGTCAAGATTTATATCGGCAGTCGTGAGTGAGAAAAAGAATTTATTCAGTAGAGCGGACTGTTCGAATGAGAAGTAACATTCGCTCTTGCAATTAGATCTTGCGGATCTTCATGCATTTACAAAAGTGCACAAAATGAAACGCAAATATAAAATTGTGCTCTATTTCTTTAATATTACGTCCGTAGAGACATAAATTCACCTATAGATTGAAACAAAAAAAAAAAGTAGCCGTAAACTTAGTAGCATTATTGCAACTCTCAGCTCTCGAATTGATCACAAGCCGGCAGTTGATCGGGAGAAGAAATTTATTCGCTATTTAAATTAATGCGTCGAAAGCGTGAACAGAGATGAAAACGCAGAGCGGAAAAGGCTTTCCTCGTGACTGGCCCCATAGCCGGCGCGCACGTGCCTTGCAAAAAGCGGCGCGGCGCGGCGCGGCGCGGCGTGTCCTCGCGGCTGGTTTCCTGGTTTCCGCTCGAATGGCTTCGCCGGCCGACGCGATGTCCTCGTGCTCCATTCGCAAAACGCAGTCGGTGTCAAAGTCAAGAGAACGCAGACACCGGAGCGAGCCCGACGATAATAAAGAGAAATTACAAATCCCGATCCTATACGGGGCAAACACCTCGGGGCCCGGCCCAACTCGATCAAACGATTCGAAACCGCGTGTAATTGCTTCCCAGTCTGTCCTTGAAGGGCGCTCCTCCGGCGTCGCGTTTTACCCGTCGTAAATATCATTGTCGAACGATGGAAAGTTGCAGACCGAAACGTGTGGCTTGCTCGTTTCTACTTGTACGCGCAAGGTTATCATTATTTTATATTCAGAGTGTCGTTCGATCGAGTAACGCGCGTAGCTGTAACGCGAGCTTGAACAAGGCGAAGAATGTGAAAAAGATAACCGTAAAGCGAAGTACGTCTTGTGGACGTTGATAAAAATTGGGAAATTTCGGTACGTCGATCTTTGTCGGTAATTTTTAATGATTTGTCAATTTTGAAATTGACAGGGAGAACGACAGCGAGACATTTCAATATTGTCTCGTACTGCTCTCTTTCTTTTAATTGAGAAGTTTCTTTGAATATTTTCATACCGTTTTCAATATTAAGTGTCAACATCAAAATTTATTTATTTTACTGAAAGTAAAATGTTGAAATTTGTCGAAGCCTGTTAACTGTTGGCTCAGTAATTTTCAGTGTTGAACACAGACTCTTAGGGTTTTTTAATATACATACTTTATACTTTACAAAATTTATTTCAATTTAAATATTTCTTGTATACTTTGATTTATATATTACGTCGTGAATTATTTACTACATATTATGTACTTTTCTCTGATATAAAGTTATTATTCAACTTTTCGAAACAAACATGGTATACATGTTCTAAGATTTTTGACCGAGTGTGTACTTAATTTAATATTTCGACTATGGCTGATTCTATATAAAAATATAAAAAAATTCTACACAAAAATTAATTGAAACAATCGACTCTTTTACTCTTGTTTAATGTTTCTTAATCGTTCTTTTAAATCGTTGAATTTTTCGAAACTTTCTACACTTTTTTCAAACGAGTATCTCAAACGAGGTGATTTAAACGGTTGATGGAATCTAACGCCCTTCACTGTTTATAAGAGAAACGGTTTTTCGAGCGAGTTTTAGTGGAAGTTCAAGTTAGATCGTGCGCAGAACAGCGTCGCTGTTCGAGGACGAATTACGAGACGGTGCGTGAAGGACGCGAAGGAAAGAGAGTATAGCATGCGATACGGTACCTACGAACCCCCTCAAGGTTGCTCATAAATTCAACCATCCAGGAGGAGAGCCCATATTATAACCGTTTGCTCATTACATATTCCAGACGCGTCGGACATTGAATTTTTCGTCGCCAGTCGTAGCCGAATTAAATTTGCCAATTTAGGTTAAGTTTAGTTTATGTTTGTCTTCACATTGAACAGCTTCGCAACGAACAACATGATCTATTCCACTTTGATTTATCAAGAGTACCTATGTGCTCTTCCACACTCTTCACAAAAGTTCTTCTCAATCGAAAATCTTACATTTCAAGATTTTCAAGCATCACCGGCCTTAGTTTACGATTTAATAATTCTCTTAATAATTCTCTTTGTAATCATAGTATTGTAAAATTTTTCGACTATCGCAGCACCTTGACGCTCCAAATATTTTGCAAATAGTAACATTACAAACACTTGAAATATCTGGTTATTCGAAAATAAATTTTCCGTAACAGAGATTAATCCTCTAGCCACGAGTAACCCTAAAATCACGTTCCATTTAATAGTAACATTACAAACACTTGAAATATCTGGTTATTCGAAAATAAATTTTCCGTAACAGAGATTAATCCTCTAGCCACGAGTAACCCTAAAATCACGTTCCATTTAATAGTAACATTACAAACACTTGAAATATCTGGTTATTCGAAAATAAATTTTCCGTAACAGAGATTAATCCTCTAGCCACGAGTAACCCTAAAATCACGTTCCATTTAATTTCCATGGACGACGATGAGATTTCCTTTTTCTTCACTTACATATTTTGATTACGTTTTATACTGCAATTAGTTAAGTACCATAATAAAAATTCAAATGAAATGAAGAAAAAACGTGCTGAATGTGTCCTGAAGTATCATAGCAAAGTCACTCATTGTTAGGATAAGAGTATTGCACAAACATGAGAAAATGTAATAACTATACGTAGATCGTGAGAAAACGGACGATGATCGAGCGACAACCCCGGAATCGTTACGCAGCAGTAGCCCAGTATCTTCGCCACCACCACAATGGCAGTCAACGAACACACCAAATAACGCACCAACTAATGCATCAATTAGCACAGCACCACGGCGATTCATTTCGAGCATCCTCGGCGGAGATATCCCGTATGGAAGTAGAGGGCATGTTATGACTAGAGCGGAACGTAAGGACTACAGTAGCCCACCGATCGCACCCTCCTCCAACGATACTACTCAATTTATCGCGAAATCGGAGAAGCTGGTGCTGCCAAGACCGAGCACACCTCCAAAGACACCAAGGGTCGAACCACCGACCAGGGTTTCGGTCATTCAAAGGGTTCCTTCACAAAGCCAATCGACGTCCAGAAGGGAAGATAAGATCGAGATACCACAAACTCAAGAACCGGAACAGGTAACCCTATCCCTTTGTTTATACTAGTTTCCTTCACGCGTTTTCGACTTAGGCGTTTTCCCTCTAATGTCAACGTAGCTACTTGTTTGTCCTTTTGCAAGTTTTGCAACGGTTGATGATATATTTGCAACGTACGATAATACAAATTAGAAGTAATTATAATACGGTACTAATATGATGTGTAGTAACAATAGTATGACGATATGGACTACAATTCAGTTTCGGATAGTATAACTTGGTAATAATTTTTGAGACAGTATATAGCACAATAGTTTTGGAATAATTGTAGGAATTTTAAATGTATTGTACCTTTAGTAGACTGCTGATTTTCATCCAAATTCATGATTACAAGAAAATAGAAAGTAGATAGAAAATTATTACACATGAAATGTTATACAGAATACTACACTTTGGATATTTTGCAAGTATATCTTTCCATATTATGTACATTCTGTGTAATTTTGAACCTTCAACATATAAAAATCTGCAGTCTAAACTAAGATCAACTAAAAAAAAAGATTTTTAATATTCTAACAAAAACTTAAATCGTCGTATCTTATCTAATCACGCATACATATAATCATCCTTACTCATTTTTCTCACACTCGCTAAAGTTTTCCAGAAATAGAAAATACAATTTAATCAAAAAATGAACAAAAACAAAAAAAGATAAGGGTTAATTGCACAAATGTTCCTCATCTTTCGAACTCTCACACATAATCGCAATGGCGCGCAGTTCGCTTCGCTTGGTTGTTCACAAATCGAGGCTTGATTTGTCTAGCGCGTTCCCCTCGCGTACAGTCAGCATCATTATCAGGAAGAATTTGAATACACATTATACACGTGTGCATATGTTAATGATTAGCGATCGAGCGATGCTCGGACGCTGCGTAACAGCTGACATTGGACGTTATCTTTGCAGGAGCAGCCAATTGATTACGCGGTACCGAAGAGAAAAGAAGAAGACGAAGAACGAGGCCGCGAAGGCGCAAAAGTTTCGCGCGCGATCGGTAACTCGATTGCTAGGCCACTTTTGAACATGAGACTGTCCGGACCCCAAATAGTCCACGCCGCTGCTGGTCACGGAAGAACATCAAATTCCGGTAATTCCGGCAGTTCGGGTTCCAGCGGCTCGAATAATTCGGGAAGTTCTACTTCGTCAAATTCGGGCGGAAGCGGCAGCTACTGCGGCGGTGGTGCTGTCACAGGTGGAAGCGGAGGTGGCGGTGCTGTTGGTGGAGGCGCTGGAGGAGGTATGAATCCTGGGGGTAACGGTGGTCGTGGCAACTATGGGCCAAGTTCGCCACCTACTGGTTCCTTGCCACCTTTCTACGAGTCACTGAAAGGCGGGAATAATTTAGCAAATTTTGCCAATCAATACAACAGCACTCAAGGTACGACAAGATCTTGGAATCATAAACGCAATTGGTGGATTGTTTTCAAATTTGACTAACGCAATCACGACTCAGTTGCGCCTCATTGAAATGACAATGAAATCTAACAATGTTCATGGGCTTTTATGACTTGGTGTACATGCTGCATATTTATAATATTACAATATTATAATATAATTTATAATATTATAACTTAAATGTAATTAGTTAGACTACGGATTTTGTTGCGTTTATAAGATATATGAAGTTGCAAAAATTTATGTGAAAGAGCGAAATTTTAAAGCAATAATTTAATAGACAGTGTACTGTAGTATCATCAGTTTGCTATAATTTTCACTTTATAATGTTGATCATTGTCTACCAATTGACACTTTTCACTTTATAATGTTGATCATTGTCTACCAATTGACACTTTTCACTTTATAATGTTGTCATTGGCCTACCAATTGAGACAATTATATAAATCCATATTCTTACTAATGAACATATAAAAAGGAACGATATCTTATCTTTAAACGTTACTCATATTTTTACTGTCCAAACTAACAGGGCGAAGTGAAAGATGTTACCGTAACATGCAATTAATGTGCAAAACACTCAAAAATCTATTACCAGTTACAACATCTGATAAGTAAAACGAATCGTTGTTCAGATCTCATTTCTCCAATCGTGTTCAAATCATACGAACCTGCTTAAATAGCCGTAGTCTACTGATAAAACTCTCTATCGATGGAATACGAATACAAATAAATAATTAATAAATAATAAATAATTGTCTCAGGGAACGGTTACCTGATACCATCGCCGGCAGTAGGGATGGAGTGCGACGCCGGCCAGCAAGATGTGAACTCGCAGCATTCGCAGTACAACGCCCAAGAGGGCAAACAGTACTCCCTGCTACAGAATGTTTGCGCGTCGTACGGCCTAACATTGAAGGAGGAGGAAGATCTGTCCCCTTACAAGATCCAGGCGAACGATTTACTATCTGGACAGTACGGCGCTTACGACGATACTGGAATGATGATGGACATGGTAACCAGCGCTGTTGTGGATCCTCTTCAGTTCACCGCCACATTAACATTTAGTTCCCCGTCGGATCACACCGCTCTCCTCGAGAGTTTGAGCGACGCTGCTGATTTGTTTCTACCAAGGTTACCGACTGAGGACGGCAGCAACGATCTCCTCGAGGAATCGTTGCACTCGCCAGCCTCGGCTGCAAGCGGGATCGGCCAGGATGGAGGTCAAATGACAACACCCGTGGAACCGAGTGTCGATCCTTTCCCGGAGCACAACATGGCTTTGACGAGGGGTTTCGACACGTCGAGGTAAACGATTGATTTTCCCGTATCCGAATTGCTTTCGATATTCACGATATGCTTATAGAAGTATACGACCAGATTTAATCGATGAGCGAGAATAACGGAGCAGTAAAATCAAACTAGAAATCATTATTTCGCGTGTAGTAAAAGAAAGATAGATTTCGTCTTCTAGGGAAGACAAAGTTTCGTTCGGAACCAAACGTGTTTAAACTGCGTATTTAAAACGTTTACGTGTTTTAATTCGATTGGACTTCGTTCGCTCGCACATTTATATACGTCTGTGTCTTTTAATTTCGGACAAAGTCCGATGTCTATTGTGTAATTGGCGAGCTCCGATTGCTAGAGCCCCCCTAACATTGATTGTTTAAAAGCATGTTTGTTTCAAGTTCTCAAACTTTCGATATAAAATATATCAAATCTCTGTCTCTCTCTGTAATTTTTCAAACCATGCAGTTTATAATTATTATAGTCGGTGTAGTCAAGGAATTAATGAAGACAGCCAACTAGACGTTAAACATGAGGTGTTGTAAAGTCTCTAATTGAACTGGATATTAAAATCGTGAAAGGGAGCTGTAAAATTCGCATTATCGTCGAGAGATTCTCATGAATCAAATGAAGAATGAAATCAAAAATTGTTTGCTACCCGTTGTGGAGTAATACAAATGAACAACCATCTCTGTTTAGACACTACACTGCAGCTCCTCAACATTTCAACACGCCCAAACTAGGATTGAGTTATACCACCGGCGAGTCGAGTTATCAGTCTGTTTCCAAGGAACGTCCGGAATTGGCGCTTCATATTAATCAAAGTCATCAACACCAGTCGGAGCCGCAGCTGCAACAGTTGCAAATACAAGTGCAGTTGCAGCAACAGCAACAGCAACAGCAGCAGCAACAGCAGCAGCAGCATCAGCAGCAACAATCCGCAACAACCTCTCAACAGCAACACCAAGGACTACTCAGTCCAGGATTAAGCTTCACCGGTAGTGGTTAGTGTTTATATCGCTTCTTTTTTGTTTCATTCTTCATGAAACAACTTGCATAGAGTTGTCACTCTATTAGTTATATTCTTCAAGTAAAGCGTTTAAAGCTGTTACTAAAAATATCATAATCTATAAGGTGTAAAGTGTTACAAAAGATATATAATTTATAAGGAATGAAACATCTGAGGAACGAAATACAAATGATATATGTTCGGTATATTTATATGGAGATCATGTATGAAAAATATAATGAAGCTCTTTTTGTCAATTTTCTAATGCCATTCCATCGCTTGCTAGCTGGAAAAATGCATGATAAAATAATCGAGGAAAATTGAAATAATTTAGATTTGAAGATACAATTTTAAATCCACAATATTTTGTAAGAAATGCATACAATAATAATAACAATAATATTAGTTTATTCCTAGTATTAATTAGTTAGTTTAATTTAATAAACTAGTTAATGCATTCTTAGCAAAGTAGTATTAATTAAATTAAACTAACACAGGGATAAACTAATATCTGTATTATTTTTTTATACGTCAAAAATGTAGGACAGACATCTGTGGTCTTCATATATTCATCCACTATAAGTTACGTCGGTGTTACGAGTACTGCGTTATACTCAAGAATAAAATTAAACGTTTGATCACGTTGATTTCAGGTCTGGAACTAGATTCAGGTAGCAGTGTGGGCGGAAGTTTACCAAGTCCGGGAGCAGCGAGCTGTTCCTTGGACGCCGCCTCGACCAGCACATCGCCGTCCTGTGCTCTGATGGAGCATGCACCGAGTCCGGTAGCTACAGTTTCATCCGCGTCGGTGAATACCGTGCAACCGACTGGACCAGTCGGTGAACCGCCACTGTCGCAACGGGTCGGTGTACTTCAGCAAAGGGTAAGCACCCGAGATTGATCCAGGCAAAAGCATACTTTTTATTTAGAAACTCGAACACAGCTAAGATAATCTGTATGGCACTGTTGCTCGATCCCGAAAGCTCCCTCTTCTTTCCTTCCCTTTGCTTCTTCTTGAGCTCTTTAGCTTTATATTTGGCGGAGCAAAATGCAGGTCGTCTGTAAGAATACCTTGCAAAAGCTCTGTCTCAGGTTTCTCTGCTTGATACACCAGAACGCTTGAACATTGCCATATAGATAACCAAGATCTCTCAGATGATCATTATTCGTAGAATCATTATCGCTGTTCCATTCAAAACTCATCGAAACACGCGCGACTATGCAATGCCAATCAAATTGAGTGCTTCATCCGTCATCGAAATTAATAACGTTTTGCAAAAACGTGTTAAATAATAATGGAATTAACACGCTGGTTTTCTTTTAGCTGGGACTGCCCGGTGATTGTCAGCTGGAGTTCGTAAACGGCGGCCACGGAATTAAAAATCCTCTGGCGATCGAGGGTCAGAGACAGGCTGCGGCTAATCGTGAGGAGGAGAGGGCGGCTCGACCTCCGCCTGGCAAGGTGAACGTCATTCTTTGACGCTTTTCCTCACTATATATCGCATGATTTATTAAACTGCCCGGAGATTTGCATACCTCCAGTTGTAGATTTAGTGCTTTGCACGCCTAGATACCAGTTTCTGATTACTGTTCCAGTTTTGTCATTGTTACATATTTTATGCAGTTTTACATACTTGTTAACGCGCCAAGGAATATCTGCAGAGGACATTCAATAAGTTATTCCGTGATAAGAGACATTTAATAAGGAGTAAAAGAAACATTCGTTGGTTTTCAGGATGACGATCCGAACCGCTTCACGTGTCATGTGTGTAGCAAGAATTTTAGCTTGCAACGACTGTTGAATCGTCACATGAAATGTCACAGCGACGTGAAACGTTATTTATGCACGTTTTGCGGCAAAGGTTTCAACGATACGTTCGACCTGAAGAGGCACACCAGGACGCACACCGGCGTTCGACCTTATAAGTGCAATCTTTGCGAAAAGAGTTTCACCCAGCGCTGCTCGCTCGAGAGCCATTGCCTTAAGGTTCATGGTGTTCAGCATCAGTATGCGTATAAGGAACGTCGTACAAAGGTGAAGGTCAATTTTCCACTCATTTCTGAATCGCGATATTTCTTATACACATTTCTACTCTTATATTTAAAGAAGTATCAAAAATAAATTCAATTAAGTATTTAATTTAATTATTTCTAATACACAGTGAGAACATAAAAACCATTCGTAACGAAAGCTACAGATACTAGCGAATTTCTTATACACATTTCTACTCTTATATTTAAAAATAAATTCAATTAAGTATTTAATTTAATTATTTCTAATACACAGTGAGAGCATAAAAACCATTCATAACGAAAGCTTGACTAGCGAAATATTTATCAAAATCGTAGCCAACTTGCAAATACATAAGATTGCTATAGATGAAAATTAATCAGTGCCTCTTATTTCTGTTCATTTCATTCAGGTATATGTATGCGAAGAATGCGGTCACACGACTCAGGAGCCGGAGGTGCACTACCTCCATTTAAAGGATAAGCACCCATACAGCCCAGCTTTGTTGAAGTTCTATGATAAGCGACATTTCAAGTTCACCAACAGCAATTTTGCCAACATGTTGCTCCAGGTGCGCACATAGACTCTGATTAGAGTATGAATTTAAAAAATAATACCTCATATAAGTAACAAAAAAAAAAAAAAGTCAAATATATGAAAAGTAATAAGAGGTAATGAGATCGATGATCATGAAAAATTCGTATGTTTCTCCGTTCCTTGACAGACACGAAAAAAGTAAAGGAAATTACGAAGCTAGATCAATAGGGAGGGGGGGAGGGGAGGGGGAGGGAGGGGAGAAACGTAACAGACAAGAAAAAAAGAAATCTGATATTCGAACAAAAAGAATAGCAGAAAAGAAAACGAGACTCGAAATTGTGACTGTTCAGGGTGGCTTGTTGCAACGGGACTCACGGAATACGGACAGTTGTGTAAAGTCAGCCTCGAAAAGCCTCGAAGCACCTCTTCAACGTGCCACAACGTTGCTGCACCTGGGTCGAACTTCCAGTTTCTGAGGAGCAATCGCGATGGCATCATGCAAGAGGATAAAACAGAAGAAAGGATGAGAGGGTGAGAAGATGAGGAAGAGAGAAGAACGAGGAAGGTTGACTCGATTTTTTAGCTACTCGACTGGAACGCCATCGAACGCATCCCGTAGTACGAATCGTCGCGCGAATAGTACCTGCAGATGGCTCCCTTTAATCAATGATACACGACGGTATCGAGGGCCGATAACGATCGGATTTACTGTGAGACTATTATTTCTGTGTAATGATGACCTAGGTTACAAAAAGAAAAAATTACACCCGAAGACTCGGATCGAACGTTTCAGGAATGGCGATCATTTCTTCTCTTCATGACGAGAGATTGGGATTAATGTGATATTTCTTCGAACGACCATATTTTTTTTTTCTTTTCAGTGATTTATGGCAAGTTACGTTGCTTTCCGACTCAGAGGGTGAGAAATTACGCAGAAATATTTCTCAGATTTTCGTTACGCCGAGATAACGATACATATCTCGGAGAGAACGAATACAAAAAGAAATTGTTAATTTCTTTCTTCTTTTTTTTTTTTTTTAATTAATAGATACCTATTCGTACGCACTTGGGAAATCTGTGATATAGTAAAACATGATTTTACTTATTCCTTTACGTACAAGATTTCGCTTTTCGCACTCTGGTTTCTTCATGGTGTACACACCGATATGTGGAGTAAGATTTACACGTATATATATATTTATATAAAGTGCCGTGGAAAAGTATGTATATACGTGTGTCAGCACTTTTTACATATATATATATGTATACTATACAGAAATATACTAAAATATATACGTGTGTCGTGTAAATCTCACTTCTCAATTCTCACTATGTCGGTGTTTTTTACGAATATTGTTTTATTGCTAATATTTTATTATTATTATTATAATATTATTATTAGTAGTATTGTTATTTCTATTATGATTATTTAATTTACATCCAGTATTGTCCGCAACAATAGTACATAGATATTTCTATTATCATTATTAATACGAATTATTATCATCATTAATATGTTTTTCGCACGACTGTTTAATGTACTGTGTATATCGTATTTTCACGGATTTGAAAATGTCAAACAATTGACAAGCAAAATATCGATCTTGGCTCTCAATCCGTTCGTCATTCATTGATGCTAATCGTAATGACATGCGGATATGCGCTGTCTGTATATAAAGATTGAAATATAATAAAATTAATATTATATCTATGCGTATTAATTTACTCCAGTGTCTATACTTTTGATATCTGTGGCTGCAAGGGAAAACGTCGCATATCGCAATTTTAAAAATTGAGATATATATATATATTTAATTGATTGAATTATATATTATATATATATTTACAAGGAAGAAGACATATGAAAAATATAGATTTATATCGTCAAAAGAAAACATTGGGAGATATTGCTAGTAAACTAGTGTTATAAGAAAAATATAAATTTAGATGATAACGTCTCAAAAATGAAAACTGATGACATGCGGCATTTTTCCATACAAACACATAGATATATAAAATGACTGAAGAGGATGATTATAGGTACTAAGAATAAAGTACATCATTTACATAAATATATGTGTATATGTATATATATATATATATAGATATATATATGGAATTGCATATTTTTGATACTTGTACAGTTGCTCATTAGTTGCATTAATATAATACAATCTATGAGTCATGCGATTCTTCCAGTCACCAGTTTCCTTACAGCAAAGTGTAGCCAATGCTTCTTCATAGAGGGATCTCTAATGGAAGAAATAGCAGTGATGATATAAGGAACTCGTCGGTCGCACAGATGTTCATCTAGTAAACTTGCGTTCCGATGCGCTCGCAAGGCTGCAATATCAAAATGATAAGAGACAGAGAGAGCTACTGCTACGGTTAAACTACTACTCCAGGATGTGTTTTATCTGCAACAGAGAATGATGCCGGTGTGTGATGATTCCTCGACAGGGATGCAACATACGAGTGTGCACACGGTGGGTCAAAATTACTGGATGGTCGTTTGTCGGCGGCCCGCTCGACTCCGACTCTGCGGGATCGGTGTTTATTCGTCGGTCACCGCTGTTTAGCTCGATAAACGCGCAAAGAAATCAATCTCTTAAAGACGATTTCATGACGCTATTGTCTCCTCCTCGAGCTTCATCAGTGATAACGTACACTGGTTTTTTTTTTTACTCACTACTGATTACGGAGCAGAACGGCATGTATCTGGGCTTCGCAGGTACCTTCGGCACATCCTTTCGACCTCTCGGTGATTTCTCCTCGTTGAGAAGACGTTTCACCTACGATTAATTGTTTTACATCAACAATAGCCTTAAATTTTGTTTTTAACTAGACACTTCACGTTCCGACATTACCAACCTGTTCGTCGATTGCATTAAATTGCCATTTCCACGTATGATTATACAAGAAAGGTCGATGATCGAATCTGTTGTCGTCGGGACTGTAAGTCTCCGCGTGACAAGATGGTGTCAAGATAGTCATTTTATGTCGATTTATCGCATAACATCTATAAAAGTGTTTCACCTTATCCGCCACCTATAAACGAATTCAAATTTAAAGATATCTACAACAACAAAGATTGAAGCTAATTATAACTATATTTACTTCTTTTGAGCTACATTTATCCCACATGTGAACGAGTCTGCAGAACATAGTGAACGGACCAGCACAATCCTGCTTTCTTAAACGTCCGAAAGTACCAAGCTCCCTATATGTCATACCCATATCTACTTCATCAAGTTGAGCGAGCTGTCCTCCTTGAAGAGGTTCCAATTCTGCAGTAGGAGGAGCATCCAAGATTTTATCTAAAGCTGTTATTCCATGTTTCTTCCTAAAACAGATCTAGCAATCGTTCGTACATCTGTTGAAGAACACATCTCAAAAAGATACCAGTTTAAATATTGACCTAAAGTAAGAAAGGAATAATTTTAAATCGTTCTTTGCAATCCCACCGATAGGATTGATGTCGGCGCTGCTGCAATCATATTTCGTGAAGTATCCTCGAAGCGCTTCGTCCACATTACTGCTTCCTAGTACCAAAAGACCACCCGGTCGTCCTCTCACCCACAGCATTAATTGTGCGAATAGATAAGCTATCACCATTCTCAACCGGGCCTTAAAAAATTTTAAATAATTAAAAACTTATTCATTTCTTAGATATAAGAATATACCAACTTGTATATTTTGCAGAGCTAAATTTTCTCTAGGAGATCCTCCTTGCACTTTAAATCTCGGTGTCAATTTAGTTACTTGTTGGAAAATCGTTAGAATAGCAGACACAGCAACATCAATTACTATACTATGATGATAAGAGCCAATCTGGCTAGCGAGTTCAGCTGCTCGTGCCTTTGTTTCGGAGGATGAATTTTCAGTACCCATGTAGCAAGTAACAAGGAGAGTATTGCACAACTGTTTTGGATCAGTTGGTACGTATTCGCAATCTCCGACTATTTTTCTGATGTCAGACAACACCTGTGTGTCTAATTGGGAACACTTATTAAGTACATCTTCTAATCGTCATCATAAAAATAATAACACGTACCTCCTTTGTTAACCGAATTCACGATCATATCGCACATGGAATAAACGATACATGCTGACGACGCAGAATCAACACCACCACTCAAAGGTAAAAAGAATCCACCTTGGCAAGAACGCCTTTTGTAGAAACGACAACGCAAAGTTAAAACAATTAAATCAAGCTAATAATCAACTTAGAATAAAAGAATAAACCTCAAATAATCCCACAGCCAACAAGCAGGGGCCATTGAAATTTCTTCGTCTGGTGTATGATACACAAGTTTTCCTGTCGTATTTTCGTTTTCATAAGGACCTAAATCCACATCGATCGGTCGGTCTGGAGGAGTTGAAATCAAATTATCAGAAGTCAGAGCAAAATCCACCTTCACACGCGGATAGCTTGGTTGTCTGGCAGCTACATGAGATCTTGATCTAATATTATTTCTATAACTCCTGTGGAAGAAGAAGACGATCAGATTGAATTCAACTCAATTCAACTTGAACGAATACTACGAACCTTATATCCTCCAGATCAAAGGTTGCTACAATCACCTCTACTTCATCCAGTGCAAACTGTTTACCACGATTTAAGATTTGACCATTCAAGGTAATAGAGGATCCTCCGTTAAAGTACAGTCTAGAACCATCACAGCCCCTCAAGTTACTGAACATGTAACAACCACCCGATTTGAATGTAGCCGACTTGACTAAGTCTACGGTGACGTATGCTTTCCGTAGTTCGAAGTATGAACCACTACCTTCAAGAAAAAAATAAGTTTTCACTTTATATTTTAAAAGAGATATACGCATATGCGTATAAACACATAAAAGAAAAGTATAACAAATGAATTCTATTACATAATATTAACTATTAAAAATTCCTTAATTTCACACCATTAAAATCTAAGAATTTCACATAATTAAAATATTATTTTTAAGATATAAAGTGTAAAATCCGCTTTTACGCAACACTGTGCAAATAAATAAATATATATCATTTATATCATCTATGTATCGTACCATTTGCAATGATTTCAACGCCATCCAGGCACATTGGAATATGATTGCTCATCGGGTTCCAGAGTTCTTCGCAAATTTCGAAACCCACGCACGTGTCTCTGGTCGATATAACAGCATCGCCAAACGGCACCACCGTCTGGTTGGTGATCTGAGATATCATTCTAGGTAGAAAGTAGTCCTCCACTGTCCGTTCCTGCATAAACAATTAACATTTGTAGCCAGACGGCAAATCTAAAACGAGAAGGTCGGCAACTATTCTGATTTCTCATGCATCGCGCGTGCAATCTGGAAGAATAACCTTGGTCCACGGCGAGAACCATCTGGATTCTCTATAATTGCCATCCTCGCACATCTGCATCTTGGGTCTGATAAGGAGAATTCGTCGATTCAGAAAGGCTACACGGCAATTGTACGTCACATTTTTGTGCATGACCGGCATACCAACGTCTATCAGCATATCCTCGGTCACAGGTGACTTGAGAATCGTTGCGAGTACTTCCCAACTGTGGAGCAACGTATCTGACTCGTAGAAATGGTCTTCGCAACTGTAACCGCTGTTTCCGAAGGAAATAATAATTTTTAACTTCAATCTTTTACTTTCAATAATAAGCTTCTAATTATTTTAATTATTCAAAGAAAAAAAGATTTTTAGTAACATTAGTATTTTAGTATAATAATATAATAATAAGTATTATTAGTATTTTAATGTAATAAGACTACAAATTTTTGTGCAATTCATATTCAAATGTACAAAGAGGCCGTACCTGAAAAAGAAAAGGATATTGATATTTTTAGATATATTTGCATATTAAATGTATTTTGTGCATTCTTGCTTTAAATAGTTCACACGATACATAAAAAGTCACAAGCTGGTTATTATTAGTTATATTATTTTTCTTCCCTTTAAAAAGAAAATTTTACCTAATTTCTAGCTCTGGACCGCTTCTATAAGTAGCGCCAGCATCTTTAGCTTCCTGAATACTTTGCAAGATCCTCCTGGAATTTCCCTCGAAGTCCAGTGCCCACTGATTCAACGAGCAAACAGCTACCGTCACTGTACGACCCATCTTTGAAGAATTTTTCCTTTCTTCGAGTCTTCGTCTTGAAAGAAACTATCTGTAAGAAAAATAGAGACAGACGTTATTAATAATAAGTTGCTAGAAAATTGTAAGATACATATTTGATATATACAGAACAATAGCTAGTAAACAGGTAGTAATATCTAGTGGATTCCGACCTATCAATTGAAAGCTCATTGATCGAGGGGGAAGAATGTTTGCCGACAAAATAGCAGTACATCCATCCTCCAGTCCGACAAACGTTGATTGATCAATAATTTTCAGAAGCGTGCAAGGAGAGGGAGGAGATGCAAATTGCATGGCTGTTTCGTGCGACTTAGGCGGAAGAATGTCTGAGAAAACTCCGGAGACGCTGCCTGGCGAATTCCTCAAAATTAACGCAACTTTCTTGGCAAATTGCCTTGTCACGATCAATCTGTGATGAAATGCAGATATATTTCAAAGATCCACACTTTGCGAACTTCAAAATGATGACAAGAATCCATCGAGATATCCGGATATTCGACTATAAGGATTCAATTTTCAAATTTAAGAAGTTCTGAAATATCTCCGGACAATAGACGAGAAATAATATGTTTTATTTATTGCAAGTTTATTAATATTATTATTATAAAACGAAAAGAAGAAGAAAAGAAACGTCAAATCTATCAAAGTTCAACGAATAAGATAAAAGAATCGCGTTTCTCATAAATCATTTCATCTTACATGCGTCTTCTTGTAAGAAAGAAAGAACTTGTTAGAGAAATATAAAAGCCAGACGAGATGATGCGAGAAATTGAAACATTATTAAAATATTAGAAGCTAGATTTCGATCGCGAAGGGAACGCGGTGATGCGTGCGAAAAAAATCGATAAAGAAACGCGGCGGTTCGCGATGAGCCGGGATCGATTCGATACGGATGTTCGATCGAAGCAGAGCGACGAACCTCGAGGAACGAGAAAGGGCTTCGAACAATCATCGGGCTACTAGCTCCGCCCCCGTTTCTGCCGTTGTCAGGCAATCGACGAGCCAGGTTTTACAAAGTTCCTCTTGCCAGCGAGTTCCTATTCGCAGTTCACGCGGTAGATTCGCTCGAGGAACACGTTTTGTTTGCTCGAGGCATCATTTAAAATCGCCGCTGTCGAGTGAGCTTCGATGAGTGTTTCAAAAAAATGCATTCAAAGACAAGCTTGAGGAATGGTCGGGAGTTTCATTCGACAGATAACGAGGAAAGTATCACTTTCTTTCAATAACAAGGGCTAAAGGATCAAAACGCTGGAAGAAGATGAGCGCGGTAACAAAATGTTTATCGGATGAAGGAATTCTGTGGATCGTTGACTGCGCTTCGAGGCAAACTAAGTCTGAGAGTGTTGAGAGGAAAGAGGCGGCAATGTTGAACAACGAAGAGGTCGACAGATCAGACGAAGATGACGAGGCCGATGGTAGATAACGAAAAATGAAAGATCATTTAACCGATAGCAAGGTGAAGGAACTTCAAGCCATGCTTTTCCCAGTTCAGCCGATTCCTGGTAAATCAAAGTGGCGTGTCTACTATGAACAAGCAGCATGGAAATATTTGTTTGTTGTCGACACAGGCGGAGCGCTGGCAAACTTAAATAAACTCCAGGAGTTACAATTGCTGCAGCTGGGACGATGCGATCTATCGCGAAGGGAAACGGAGTTGTCGCTGCTCTCTATGCCTTTTGGAACCAGGGATGATCAGTCGCAAGAAACTCTTCGAAGCATATTGGACACTCACTGTACGATAGATGGTATCATCCAGGAGACTGCTAGATGGCCCACGGAGTGCCAAGTATGCACCATCGACACTCTGAAACACTCTATGTATAAAAGGAAAGTAAAATGTTTCCAACAATATTTCAGGTACTTCCTGAAAGAGTCAGGCACATCGAATACGCTCCGTCCGTTCCAGAACCGTTCTACGTGCCAACCGGAAAGGAACCAAGACCAAAGCCATTAGGAGACGAGTTTGGAACTGTGATGTTTCGATACCATCCAACCAGCGTCACCAGTTATGTGAGTCTGTAATATGTACATTCGTGTCGATCATAGCGATCAGAATTCGAAGGAAGATTTTATTTATTCATTCCATGATCAACAGTTTAGTAGATCCTGCGTAGGCGGTAGCACGGTCGCGCCGTTCCCAGCCCAATTTCCAGCCGATTCAAATGGAAATGAATCAAAGAACGTCGAGACTAATAGCAGCAACGTGTTGTTAGTAACCAGAGTGTCCGACCTGATGGACACTAACAGCGATTTACACTTTGAATCCCGTTTCGAATCGGGAAACCTTTGCAAAGTCGTAAAGATCACTGACACGTATTATCAATTGTACCTTAGAAAGGATCTTTATACTCAAAGGCATACCCAGTGGTATTATTTCAGGATATCAAATACGAGGAGCAGGACAAATTATAGGTGATCATTCAACTCTGGATCATTTAACTCTTACTCAAATAAATTAACTTTTATGGGAGTATTATTGGATTATTATTGTAATTTTTATATCATTTTCTTATTATTTATTATTAGACTTTATGTAACTGTTTCTGATAGAACATAAGATCTGATTATAACTAGAATTACACCAATCTGTCTATCTCACTTTAGAAATTATAATTAATCCACACTTTTTTAAACTTAAATCCAAATTATTGTACGAATCTAATCTTTAAAGTAATGAAAACCACATAAAAATTTTCTCTACTCTCCGAATTTTATAATGACGTCTTTGTATTTTGTATATTTTCATAAAATTTTCAAATTTTTGATAACAATATACAAATATCCTTAGTATATTTATCACAAATATTTATTATGTGAAAAAATTGAAAATAATTTTAGATTGTCTATCGTAAACCTTTGCAAAGAGGAAAGTCTGTACAACGAAGGTCTTCGACCACTTTTGTACTCGATCGAGGACGCCAAGACGCGAGCCGTTGGTTGGAGAAGATGCGGTGAAAATATCGCTTATTACAGGAACGATTCATCGTACGTTATCATATTTCTAATACTTTCATAATTTTTATTATAATTTACCTTCCTTCCCAGAAGTGACGAAGAAAAAGAAAAGCACACATTAACGTTCAACGTCTCTTTCCCTCATGACAGAGACACTGTCTATTTAGCACATTGTTATCCATATACATATACCGATTTACAGGTAATAATAATAATAGTACAAGTACCATCCTTACGTTTTTTTTTTTTTTCATTGATAGTCTGTGAACAATAATTTCTTGAAGCTTAAGTTAATTATTAGGCACATAGTGGGAGTGATTTAAATCAGACATGTAACGAAAAATATCGATAATGAGAAGTAACGAATTTAGGAATACCTTTTAGGAATATCTTGCCAAATTAGTCGCGGATCCTATAAAATCCAGATATACTAAATTACGACTGCTGTGTCGTACGTTGGCTGGAAACAGAGTTTATTACCTAACCATCACTGCGCCTACCTACGATGACGAAGTACGAAGGAAAAAAGGCATCGTTATCACGGCGCGAGTTCATCCCGGAGAAACTCCATCTAGCTGGACGATGAAAGGGATTATTGATTTTCTAACCGGGGAATCGAATCAAGCCAGAGTACGTGTCAATATTCAAAATGATCTTCATTTTTATTTCGTTTCTTTCTTTTTCTTTTTTTGCTTTTTCTTCACTTTTTAACGAGACGTTCGACAACACAGGTACTGCGAGAAAGATTCGTATTCAAACTAGTCCCTATGCTAAACCCGGATGGCGTTATTGTTGGCAACAATCGTTGCTCGCTTTCGGGAAAAGATCTGAATAGGCAATATAGGACTGTGATGAGAGAAAGCTACCCCTCGGTCTGGCATACAAAGTTAATGATTCGACGATTACTGGAAGAATGCGGAGTGGCCATTTATTGTGATCTACACGCTCACTCTAGGAAACACAATATATTCGTTTATGGCTGCGAAAGCAAAAGAACCGCGTCGCAGACAAAACTCTCCGAACAAGTGTTTCCTCTGATGCTACACAAGAACGCAGCTGACAAAGTAAACGATTCGATACAGATCATACATTGTTTTTCTTTCGTTGTTATTTTCTTCTTCTTCTCTCTCTTTTCTTTTTTTTTTTTTTTAATAAAATCCAAATAGGTATAAGAAGTAGTCAATTTTTAGTTCTCTTTTGAAAACTGCAAATTTCACGTGGAAAAGGATAAAGAAGGTACGGGAAGGGTTGTAGTGTGGTCCATGGGAGTGCAAAATAGTTACACGATGGAGGCGTCGATGGGAGGGACGAAAATAGGGTCTAGATCTGGCACCCATTTTTCTACACAAGATTACGAGCAAATTGGGAAAGTATTCTGTGAAACTCTGTTGGACTTCTTTGATCCAGACCCTATGAAGGTACAGACCACGATACTTATTCCATGTTATGACAACGGAACATTTGCTCCTCTTAACATTTCCTGTTGCTTTGTTTATTTTCATTTGATTGAATTATGATAAATTACGCACTGGCAGGAGAAGCTTCGGAGCAAAATAATTACTAGGCTAATGAAGGGTGGTTCCAATGCCGAAGAACCGACGAACATCGACTTAACCGATTATTCCAGGTACTTTTCAATGTTTGAAGGATTAACTGAAGCATGATTCAATTGTTTTCAATTGATTGCGTGTATATCCTCGCCAGTGATGAAGGGGATACATCGGATAGTTCAATCTCAGAGAAGGAAGAAATAGAATTTCTAGAAGGCACATGGAACTATACATTGAAGGAGCCGCCTGTTTCGCCGCAATATTTATGCGCGCCACCACCTACGCCAACATTTATTCCTACTCGAAGTTTAGAATTAGCGAGAAGAAGAAGCAAAAAGGGAACCGGCGCCAACAGGGGCTACCTTCGACGCAAAAGGATGCTGGTAAAATTCGAAATATCATTGATATCCTCCTTCAGCGAGTAAAGCACGCTTATTTGAAATGAATTACTTACCGATTGGCCGGTTGATATTTAGACTAGAAGAGCAGTGATGGATTTGCCAACTCTGGACCCGGGCAGCGATTTGTGCGACTACATTGATTCAGCGGACGAAGGACTGACGGGGCCAGAACGTGAGAGCGCACCATTGAAATGTTATTAAAACTAAACTGCGAGGTATATGTAAAATTATTGTTTAGGCTACTCAGAAAGAATTCACGAAAATTGCAAGGAAGAAGTTATTCGATTTATGAACAACGAAACAGAAGAGATCACCAGCGACGCACTGATTTTACCGGAGATAGTGAGAGCTCATAGTATGTCTTTAAATGAGAATTTCAGCGTCGATAAGGAAGAATCGAAGGCGAATAGACGATCCCATTGTCTTCGCTTGGTTAGGTATAAATAAAGTATAAATAAATGTGTAAAACAAAGTGTTTCGATGAAAATGGATTTAACGCAAGAAGGGAATCTGTTTTCTTTAAATCTTTGATTTTGATACAGGAGTTTAAGACATCGTTCACCTGTTCCATTAAAAAGTCAAGATATACAAATTAAGCTCAGTTCATTGCGACAACAAATATGGATGGGAGTTCCACTTGATGCCGCAGAAACTATCGATAAAAGTATCGAGCATCCAATTGCAAAGGGACCATTAAGCTGGGGAATATCCAATATGGCATTAACCCCGGATAAAATAAATAATAAAATATTACTGAAGTACGTGAAGTTTTCTTATATCACTGACGAATATTTCGAGTTATTTCTATTTCAGGAGCACCAAGAAATTACAGTTTCTCAAATATATCGATACGAAAAACGATACGAAGGAAGCACAAAATAAATATAAACGTAAAGATATGACACGTTCGAAGGAAGACAATTTAGGCGCGGAACCTCAGGACACCGAGCGGAAGCCGAAGAAAAAGAAATCTCCTTTCAAATGGCAGAAGATAGTCAATCTAAATTCTAAAGTAGAAGAGGCGCGTCATCGTAAAACGTCCTTTTTAACGATCAAAGCTGACACTTTGAAATTGGTCACGCTTGAGGTACCTTCCAAAGTACAAACGCGGCAGCACAAAATTGAGTCCCGGAAGCATCAAAAAGGTTGCGCCACTCGTGCCGTTTCCAACGGTGGGAAAACATCGAGCATCACGAAATCTCAAATCCGCTTGCAACCACACACACGCTCTCACATACATTTGCAACCCCTGATCGTTCCTTTATGCGACAGTTTTTCATCAGACAATGAGTCGACCGATTCTCGCAAGCAGAGAATCTCGAAGAAAAAATACAAGAAGAAGCAACTGAAGAAAACGAAACCGGCTGCCGCGACGGAAAAGAAAAAGCGTGCTACTAGCGCGAGTGCATTGCGAAATCCCTGAAAGATTTCACGTAAAATTGAATGGATGGATGTTCAACCTCTTTTTCGTACGTTTTTAAATGTATTTTGTAAGTAAGTATTTATTTACATTTAATAAAACTGGTGTAGTGCAAACGTTTTTTACGCAGTATTCATGACTAAAGTGGAACTTCATCCAGCTTTTGGACACAATGCACGTTAGTACCACGTATTGATGCGCTGAATACGAATTACATTCATATGGCGGAACTGAGGAAAACTTGCGCGAATAGACTGACGTATAATGTATGCTGAAAAGAGGGGATAAAGTTTAACCCGTGACCATACAATGATTTATCGTTCAATTAAAAACATGACGTTATTATGTAACAAACTTTACCAGCGAGATAAAACAAGTACAAAGAGATAATTAACCAACGTACTTACGTATTTCGTTGATCCAAATAGGACAAAAAAAAGAGAATTGTCTATGGTTGTATTTAAATGTGACAGGCGCGTTATTTGAATGACATATACAGACGTGCACGTTTCCTCTGTGCGTTTCTTTATCAGATATCAGTAAATCTTCGATTCAACGAAAACATAACCTCAACAAATTGTTGCAATACTCATTTCGGTTGGAACAATTCATTGCCGTTAAATTCTATATGACTTTTAGGAAGTATATCTTAACACGGGATTTTATTCAGCGAAAAGCATTTTCAACATATAAGCTATTGATAGTCTTAATCCTAACGTAACACTTTCTAATATGTTAGACTTTCAACGATAAGTTTCGTTTAATGCAATTTATAACACAGAAAAACATGATACTACTTACAAGACACCGCACGATATTTTTCTCGTTAATGCAATCTTAAAAGGAAAACTTTAATCACAAATTTAAGTATTATCGTAAAAACAATTGGTATTTTTGACGAAGTGCTGCCACCTGGTGGAGCTACAACGAGCATGCTACTATAGATAACAATCATATATGTTCGAATAAACTTCCTATATAACATAAAGTACATATGTACGTACGTTAAATAAAATACGAGCATATACTACTATAAATAAAACTAAAAATACTATAAATAAAAATAAAAATAACGAGCGTACTGTTATAGATAGCAATCGTATATTCGAATAAACTTCCTACATAACATAAAGTACATACATACGTTGAATAAAATGAATAAAATGAAAAATTAAGTATTTTAAAAATACTTCTGAATACTTCAAAAAATCGTTTAAAATATCAAATATCAAACGCCTCGATAGAAAAGACCAAAACAAAGCGGTAACTGTAGAAATATTAAATATAACATATACATACCATGAACTGATTTTTTTTAAATATGTATCCAGTATCGAAATGGTATATTTTACTTATAAAAGTTATTTTGTTAATAACTTTTTAACAAACAACGACGGTTAAAACCTTGTGAAGGTTACTCAGAAGAATGATCTATGTGGAGGTGAAGGTTATTGGGGGTAGATCCCCTAAACACAAATGTGTTTCTCCATCTTTGTTATATTTTACATAAATAACAGCAATAAAAATCTTTAGTACTAAAAAAACTTACTCAAACTTATTTGGAACATTAATACATGTTTAAATAATGTCAATTTTTATCATTGTCATATTCTCTTGATAGTTTTTTCGTGATAATTATGTTTTTATATGTAAATTCCTGTAAGAAAAAAATATTATTATGTTATCATATAATATTTTTTAGTATACGTACTTGTATCTTCTCCATGAAACAAATAAATTATAATAAATAACATATTTGTAAATTAAGTAACAATAATTAATGTTATATTTAACATATAACATTTAACATAACTTCCAATATAATTTTTAAATCGTATAACCTCATTCTAACAATATACATATGCATTGAGCCAGTTATTGTCGTATGGATTTGAGTCAGAAAGTCGTGTCATTTCGCATTGACCCGGATATCCGTCGATTGTAAGTTGATTGAACACAAGTTTTTCCCATTAAAACTGAGAATCATAGATAGTTCATAATTTTTTTTAAATCCAATTTTTAATATAAAATCTTTTTAAAAATACGATCAGGTAAAATCAGTAAATTTAGAACTTTTAATAAACTTTTGAGATAAACTATTTCCAACATATATAAGATAAAATATTCTCAAAATATGATATTATAAAATTTTTATAGAAATTTTTTAAATCTTCAGAGAAAATTCCCATTTTTTATTTGACTGATAAATTGGTAAATTGATAAATCAATAGCTGATATTAGAATTCATTCAGATTTTATGAAAGAAATTCTTCTAAAAAAGAAAAAAAAAAGTTATGCTTTATTTTTATTAATAATATAATTTTTAAGACATCGTAACAAAGTGGCCAAGAGGGTGTGTGTTTGTTTATATTTAATAATTTTTAAATGAATCAATCGATACTTTATGACAAAGTTTCTTCAAGTGTGGCAATACTATATAACACAAATTATAAAAATGAATTCAATTTCTGCGCAATCAAACGAAGAGAAAGGAAAAAGCATTGTTTGTAAATCATGAAACTGCTGACAGTGATAGGGGAGTAGGTCAAGGCGGAAATATTCTCTACGTCTCTGATGACTTGACGTATTCTTTTCTTTCGTTATTCAATTTGATTATGAGAATGTTATCATCGATGTAAAAAAAAAAAAGAATGTAAAGGTAAGAAATTATTGCTACTATGAATTTCTTTTAATTATATTCGTTTCTAACGGAAATAAATATTATATTATGCATACAGTGAATCAGAGAATTTTCTCCCTCTTCAACTTTCTTTTTACGCATAAAATAATAATAATAATAATAATAATACCAATTATTATTTAAAATGATATAATTTTTTATAAAGTCTGTTATTTGCTTTTCTTCGAAAAATAATTGTAGGATTTTGGAACTAAAATTAAATTATGTTCAGTTAATAGTGCAATAATTAATCTTTTGTAATGTAAAGGTTTCTATTGTCCAAAATGACTATTAATTGATTTTGTTTTATTCAACATACGTACTTTACAAATCCGATGTAAAAATGGAAAACTGTAGTAAATATGTAACAATGAATTATAAACGAACAATAAGATTAATTGGATATAAATGTTCTGTTTCATCTTACACATTCCTCTGATTTATTTTCGATTGATTTTCACTTTTTCTGTCTATTTTTTCCCGATGATTTAAAAAAAAAAATGCTTTAAAAGACAAGGATATTTTTTTTCCTTAGAATTGCTGTATACTCTTGTCAAAAGAAGTATATCGAATATTGTTATTTTAAATAAAAATATTTGATTACATCAAAATTATTGTTTATTCCAGAAGAGTTATTCTTTTGGGAATGTTCAGCATGAAACAGCGAGAACTTTCAAGATAAGTTTAAAATATTTTAATTAAAAAATTGCATGATCATCGAATAGTGTCACGATCGATTGAAACCACATTAGTAGTCAAAAGAAAAAAAAAAAAAAAAACAAATGGATCTAAATATTAATTCCAATAGATATATGACACATGGCTACTAATTGACGTTGCGAATCTCTACCTAAGTAGGGGTGACCCGTAGAAAGGCCCGGTTATAAAAGAGATCGCACCAAGTTGGAAAACCAGTTCGGTGATGGTTCATCGACAAGAACTCATCGCATAAGTACAAGCATTAGGTGGGTGGCGATATTTTCTTTCCCTCATACATCATGAAGACACAAGTGTATTACCGATATTCAACATTTTTTCATCTTTGAACTTGAAAATGCCGTGAAACTCGAGTGATCATGTTCGATACGTCAACGTGATTCGTTTCTTGAATCATTTCCATCACGATTTATTCAGTGACAAGAAAATAGAAGGAATACAATTACAAATCCAATCCCGTTTCAGATGGTATAAATCATGTCTACAGCTGGACCGCAAATAGTAGCCGCGTCGACGGCTGCCGCTTCGGCTTCCGGGTTCTCGGCAACTACCGTGTTCTTATCACTTTTCATCCCAGCAGTCGTTCTTTACTTTATTTATTTCCGACTCTCTAGACGTCATATGCTCGAACTTGCCGAAAAAATACCTGGCCCACCATCTTTGCCTATAATCGGGAATGCCTTGGAATTCCTTGGAAGTTCCGACGGTAAGTAAATATTCAAAACAAAAGTAAAGTACTTTATACAGATTTGAACAGAATAATCGCATCGATGCGATTCGCATTAACTTTCGAATTCATCTTACATAACTTGAGTTCCGTGATCCTTAGATCCGCGAGGAATCAGGAAATTAAACAACGATTTTATTTCCATATTATAGCCATCTTCCAGAATGTAATGAAAAAGTCAGAGGAATTCAAGGATGTGGTCAAGTTATGGATCGGTCCCAAATTAATTATTTTCTTGATTGATCCACGTGACGTTGAAATAATCCTATCCAGTCACGTGTACATCGACAAATCTTCCGAATATAGATTCTTCCAACCGTGGCTTGGCGATGGTCTTCTCATCTCCACCGGTAAGTTTTCGTTGTAAAGTTCCTTTTTTTTTTTACGGTATAGTGCACTGTTTAATCAAAGCTTATGAAGACTTTCTTAATATAATAGTACATTTTTAGCATTACTTGCACTTTAGCTCGAATTTTGAAAATTTTCATCAGTACAAAAAATTAATTCGTACTTTTATTTCACGAAAACGAGTGTTCTTTGACTTTTTCGTGAAAAGAAAATATTTTGATCTTCTGTTGCGATAATGAAGTAAAGGGGAAAGCAAAGGAAAAATATATTATAAATAGAGAAAAAATATTCTCCAAGTGATAGCGAAAGCAACAACGGTGAAACAAGCGAGATGCAGTTTCACGATTGAGTGCAGTTATTTAAACGTAACTTTCTCGTTGTCCAGATAGTCTTTTTCTTCCTGTAACGAAACTCCTTCAACCATTTATTCGCCCACGTAACAGGGCTTGACACATGTGCACGTAACAGCACAGTCTGCAACTACCTCGTACAGTAAAATAAAACTTTCTTCGCACCCCTCATCATTTCCTCCAAGCAGGCGAAACTTTTATGTCATCAACGACCGAAAGTACAAAAAGAAAGCGATATAATTAGCTTTTGTAATATCATTACTGCAATATACAGGGTAGTTAAGAAACATTTGATTTCATATCTGTTATGTCATCGATCGTATCAATTATCGTATATTAAATATACGTAACATCGATACGATACAATTATTTATCATTGCTCGAATATAATTCACAAGTATTGGAATGTGTTTGCGTGAGACAGATGCAAGCAGGAAGGGAATTTGTCGACATCATTTCTAGTATTTCTCTCTGTCTGTGTCTGTCACTACTATTACTATTTCTTCGTGCTACACATTTTCTCGAAGAGGTCGTGATTCTTTTTCAGAGTTGTTTCCCTCATTAATCGACGCACAATTAAAAATTCTCCCGAAACCTTTCTTGGTCTCGCTTATATACGAATTATGAACGTAGCAGATAACTGAGTTGAAAAATGATTCGAATATAGGTCAGAAATGGCGCAATCACCGTAAACTAATCGCCCCAACCTTCCACTTGAACGTGTTGAAGAGTTTCATCGACCTATTCAACGCAAACGCCCGCGCTGTCGTCGAGAAAATGCGCAAAGAAGGCAACAAAGAATTCGACTGCCACGATTACATGTCCGAACTCACCGTCGAAATTCTTTTGGAAACTGCCATGGGTGTTTCCAAGAGTACACAGTCCAGCGGATTCGAATACGCCATGGCTGTAATGAAGTACGTATTTATTTTTCCGACCCTCTTACGCAAACGTTTTCTTCCTTCGGAGAAAGTTCACCGATATTCCAAAGGTGCACGTTTGGTACGGTGGCATGGTTGTAACCGGTGTTGCGTAACTATTGGAAAACGGATGCATTTCTATAAAAGATAAACAACCATGTGTTACGCACGTGTATTACAGCTGATAATTTACTCGCAGGATGTGCGACATCTTGCATCTCCGTCACACCAAAGTATGGCTCAGACCTGACTGGCTATTCAACCTGACGAAATACGGAAAGAATCAGATAAAATTGCTCGAGATCATTCACGGATTGACCAAGAAGGTCATCGCGCGCAAGAAGGAGGAGTACAAGAGTGGAAAGCGTAATGTCATTGACACCAGCGCGCAAAAGAACGAAAAGGTGAGGTTCAACATCGATCTGTATATATTATACGATACTTAATCTTTAAAGTGACATATCGATGTGACACGTTCATAAATTTCAGGCTGGCAATACCACCGTCGTAGAGGGTGTTTCGTTTGGTCAATCGGTCGGCCTTAAGGACGATCTGGACGTTGATGACGACGTCGGTGAAAAGAAGAGACAAGCTTTCCTCGATCTCTTGATCGAAGCTGGCCAAGACGGTGTTCTTCTTTCTGACAAAGAAGTCAAAGAACAAGTAGACACCATTATGTTCGAGGTAAGATTTCAAAGAAGATTCCGGGATAAATTTGTTGTACGATAAAAGGTGCAGTGAAACGACGTGTTTTAAAGGGACACGATACGACTGCCGCTGGATCCAGTTTCTTCCTAGCAATGATGGGCTGCCATCCTGATATTCAAGAAAAAGTCATTGAGGAACTCGATGAGATCTTTGGTGACAGTGATAGACCAGCTACTTTCCAAGACACCTTGCAGATGAAGTACCTCGAGCGCTGCCTCTTGGAAACTCTTCGCATGTACCCACCTGTACCTCTTATCGCTCGTGAGATCAAAACAGATCTGAAATGCGGTTGGTATTGCCCTCATATCTTTTTCTTTTATTTATTTTTTTTCTTTTTTCTTTTTTGCCAAGAACGGTATTGACAAAATTGATAAAAATTTTAGCGAGTGGAGACTATACCATTCCAGCTGGCTGCACAGTTGTCATTGGCACCTTCAAGTTGCATCGACAACCACACATCTACCCTAACCCTGACGTCTTCAATCCTGACAACTTCTTGCCGGAGAACACCGCGAACCGTCACTACTATGCGTTCGTACCATTCTCTGCCGGGCCACGATCCTGCGTAGGAAGGAAATACGCAATGCTGAAATTGAAAATCGTCCTGTCGACAATCCTCAGAAACTTCCGCGTAAGATCTGACGTGAAAGAGTCCGATTTCAGACTACAAGCGGACATCATCTTGAAGAGAGCCGACGGTTTCAAGGTGAGGCTCGAACCAAGGAAACCGGTAGCTGCTACCGCATAAATCTACTAATACAAAAGAATTTTCATTGCAAACGAAAATTACAATTTGCGGCAAGTTTCTCACGCAATCGGTAGGTATGCTATTTCATCGTATGTACAAAAACGGAAATCGTTGGAAACTATTGCGCGTGCGCGAGAAACTCTCCCTTCAGATTTTATGTTGTGTATAAATGTGTGTATATTTTTGTCAACCGTGCATGGACGGTATTTACCACTTACGTTGATATTTATCTTATGCAATAAATTATGCAGCCGTAGCGTTGCGAAACCCGAGAATACGGTTATTATTATATTTTCCACTTTTTTTTCATTTCACTCTCCCGGCCGTATTTTTTTCATTTTCTGAAAGCAAACGCTTGAAGCAATGGCTGGAAAATTCGAGCGCGTGGAAAGACATGATGTCGTAGAATTCTTGAAGGAGAAGAATTGCACCGATTGGTCAAACAGCTCGGCTAGTAAACTCGCCGGATATACTGTAAATCTGCCGACGAAATTAAAAACTTTGCCGCAAGCTCAGGGGACAGAAATAAATAAGGTTATTGACGACATAAAAGCCGCATTACCGTACATAACTCCTAAGGAAGTGAGAAGGTTCTTATTATCGTATATATTCGAAATATAGAAATAAAAATAATACGAATGTATTTATAAAAGTATTATTAACTGACGGTCCTAAAACAGATTTCATATGCCGTATCACGAGGCGATCCTTCTCGAACTTAAAGAGGAGGGATATCGAGAATCATTCGATTGCTTGACGGAACTTTTAGATTTCGATGAAAAAATTACAGAAAAAATGCTTGGATCGTTGTTGTGGAAAAAGCCATCTTTGAAAGATCAACGAGATATTATAACATGTCTAAAAAATGGATTGATCGTGTCCGAAAATAGTAAGAGTAAAGGTATGAAAGAGTATGGTTCCACCAAGTCTCTTCATAGATGCTACATGCAGTTTCACCGATTAAAACAATTTACTTAGGTGACCATCTTGCAGAAGCAACGACACTTTTAGACATGGCCCTGTTCTTTCAATCGAAAACGTGGGAATGGTGGTGGCTAGCCGAACGTCTCTATCAATCTGCCCTTTTGGCCGCGAAGTTAATAGACAATGACGATGGTGAAACGATCACGTTTATACGTTACTTATACGGTCGATTTCTTTTTTACCAATGTTAGTAATAGATCCCGAACTTTTCACACTTGAAACTCTCAAAAAAGATCATGCTTTCGATCATATGTATGAACAGTGCAGAATCCCACAGAAGCTCTAGATTATCTAAACAAGGCGCGAGAAGATTCAGAAAATAAGGTATGGAACGCGTCGATGAAATTGGGAATAAGGCAAGACTGCATTTTTAAAGAATGCAACATCCTCTTGTACAAAGCTCTGTTGATTTTCGTTCGCGAGGAACGTCCCCAAAATCCCGATGCAGCTTTGAAAGTCTGCAATGAGGCTGTAACGAGAGCAACTGATAGTAAATTCCATTAATTTCTATTTCGTTTTATAGTGATATATGTAAAGCAAAGTATAAAAATTATTGAAGTTATTAAAATTAATGGAAATAAAATTAAAAACAGTTGGGAACACCGAATATCTAAATGAAGCTCTTCACGAGCTCGGGAAATGTTACATCGCTGTGAACGATATTAAAAATGCGTTAAAAAGTTTTTCGAAATTATTAGCTCTTGCCAAGAAAATCTCGGATGTCGAGGGTATTTGTAATGCATACATGGAACTGGCTTTTGCGCATAAAGTAATCCTTCCCTTTGCTTTTCCAAGCACAATGTCGTTTTTCTTAAGATGTAAACGATACTTGTCTTACGTGTAGCAATTAAATAATAATGACTACACGGAGAAACATTTGCGAATGTGTCGAGAAACCGCAGAAAATTTCGGCCTCCTCGATAAACTTGCCAATGCACATTATTACACGGGCGAGCACTATTTAAGTCAGGTAAAGGAATAAAATAAAAAGATTATAATAAAACGTGCTCTGTCATTTAATAAGTTGAAATAACTCGTATTCACAACACAGAAAATGTTGAATCAAGTGAAAAAGAAAAGAATTTTTCGTGCAGGGAAAGTTACATGTATCGACCAGTCATTTGGAAACGGCACTAAACTTATACAGTAGACTTAACTTGACTAACGAAGCTGATCGAGCAAGATGTATTGCAGGAATTTCTAAAGGTTGTCCTACATTTTAAAAAATTATATATCAATACAGTACATAAACTTAAATATCTAATTGGCATGTCTACTCTTGTTCATTTCGATAAGAAAAAAAGGAAATGTCAGTATACAGTATTCATATGCTACATTTTTGATTACCTAAGATCTTTACTCAAGTATATAGAAATACAGCTACTATTTGTTTTATATTACATATTTTAACAACTTATGTAAGTATTTATCATAATCGTATCATAATGTTGAATATTTAATTACGGATTATTACTAACTTTAAGTTCGATAAAAATTTTTAATCTCTCCAGCATTTACGTGTACATAATGATAGTGTCACTTTTAAGGTCAAGAGAGAATCGAGAAATATATCGATTTATTATTACAAAGTGGTGAATACGATGAAAACGCAACGTTGAAACTCTGTCGATGGAAAAGTTACAGAGAGATCTTTTGGACTGAACACATACACAGTAACTAAAATTCAATTTGAATTAATTTTCTTTTCACCTGTGTATCAGAAATTTCTTTGACAATTATCAAAATTGAAATTAGAAGGGACGTATATACTGATACAAACATTTATCAATCTGTGACGAAATTAAATGTTTACAAATTGTTGGAACTTTTTTTCAATTTTGATAATTGTATATTTATGCTATATACATACATTCATTGATTCTTTTTAAATTTTTTGTTAAATATACTATATGTTTTTTATTACATTAATATACTGACTATCGTGTTACGATGGCCACTATTTTTTTTTTTTTTTTTAATTGTAATACACATTTAACGTATATTTACTTAAAATAGTACATAAAATCTCCGCGAAGAACGCACTGACTTAATTTTTAATTTTACAAATGTATCTGTAACTTTTAATTTTATAAATTTATCTTTTTTTTTATTCGTGAAAAATCAAACTGTCTTGATGCTAGATTTTAGAGCGTCTCAAACTTGACTGAATCTGAGATCAACGTCACATAAATGTAACGTTTTATTGAAAATTATTGTATTATAATATTGTACATTTAATATTTCAGATACAAAATCAGACTTGGAAATTCAATATGAAAACTCGGATATTTCATCATCGCTCTCTTTTACAATTTAATTTTATGGGCTGTAAAAGCAACGTCGCAACTTCAAAAATCCGTATGTTACAATTACGTCTAATAAAATTTATTATTACAATTAGCATCTTTTTTTTTGTTTCATTCACATTATACTCATTCAATTTCATTCAGAGTTTCATCTAAATTTCGTATTTCACACAGTAATCATAATGAAATGAAATAAACAATATTTAAATAATTACGCAGTTATAAAGCAATTATAAAAATGAAATTGAAAGAAAAGCAATGATAAAGGGCGATTACATCATTAAACCATTTTTTACAGTGAAATTTTTAGCAATTATAAATGCGTAAGATAGAAAACTTCAGAAAGATTTTATTGTAAAGCAATTTAAATAATTAAATGAAATAAGTATTATCAAACAAAAAGTAAAAAATAATTAAAATGGTGAAATCTTGTGATTACATTGCACACGATAGTTTAATTTTTACTTCTTGAAAATACATAATACGTTTGTGGAAAATATTTGCTTCTGGAAAATTTTGTCAGTATTAAAATATAAATAAAATTTTTACTAATATTAAAATAATTACATTAAAATTTAATTTAAAGTAATTTCATATAGTATTTCAATCTATTCACTTGTATTATTAAAGACAATTTAATACACATTATATATAATCAATTTTTTTGTATCAATTTTTAAAAATACACAAATAAACGATATAAAAGAAATTAAAAATACTTTACAGATATCAATCAATAAAATGTCTTTGAAAAACACTTCAATATTAATAGAAAATTAATATTCATATTTCAAATTTGTAACATATAAAGATAAACTGATTTAAATCTTCTGGTATATAAAATATTTCTTATTTATTTCACTGGGAAAAAAATAAAATTTATAGCATTAATCACTTATGCATAATGAGAAACAATCATTTACACAACCAAAATATTTAAGAAATTAAATATTATATATAGATATCGTGTATTGTTAATTTATAACAAAAAATGTTTCCAGAAATAATGACAATGAGTTATGAATAATACAAAATTATAGGCATGTATATAAAATTCAATAAAAATATTTTCAAGTAATTCTTGTGTCAAAATAAACTATATAAAGAGCCAATACTGATGATATCAAAATTACAATTGTGCAGTTTAACTCTTAAATTTGAAATAATTGTAATTAAACAATTGTTTCATTTTATGTAAATATGAATTAATAATACAGCAAATATTTAAATAATAAAAACAGAAAAACTATTTTTAAATTGTATAAAAATTATATTTAATTTTGTAGAAAAGTGATCAATATATATATATATTGATATACTTAGAAAGTTATTTCACTTCCACTTTTGACATTGTCTGCATTTTAAGAAGTTACATATCAACAGTGTTTTGTATTTCACGTGATATGTTTTCCAAAGTCTCAGTTTCCATAGAATCAATATTGGTAGAAATATCTATAAGAACTTCTTGTCGTTTTTCAACTTTTGCGCTTGCTAAATCAAGTACTTCCTGCAATATTTCCGCCGCTGCAGTTATAGAATCATTCGTTGACTCTTCTTCTTTTGAAGAATTTGATTCCACAATTTCCACATTTACACTAACATGTTGCTTATCAGTTGTACTATCTTCTTTGGATAATACATTTTCCTCTAAAACTTCCGATTTTTTAAAATCAGAATCATTTATCTTTGTTTGTATTTTATTTTCGTCAAAAGATTTTCTTTTCTGTGTTAATTTAGGCGATTTTTGTTCGGTAGATATTGTTATATCGTCTTTATCATCGACTCCTACTTTCGTTTCATCTCTCGTTCTATCATGTTCAATATTGCTTTGTTCCATTTTCTTAGGAACATTATTTACAAAATCTTTATCAATTTTATTTGAACTTTCCTGATTAACTATTTGAGACTGTTGTCCATTGCATACTACTTCATCTTGTTTATTTTCTTCTACATTTATATGTTTCTCTCCATCTTTTTCTGTTTCTCTTTCTTCAGATACTTCAATTTCAATTTGTTTTTCTTCTACCTTGATTTCATTGTTTTCGTGTATATCTTTTTCTTTATGTTCTTCTTGTTTATTTTCAGAATCATTATTATCCAAAATTTTTATTATTTGTTCTGAATTCAGACAGTCTACAGATCTATGAATGCGTTCACCAATTTTGAAATTATTTTTTTCTTTTTCATTTTCTTCATTCTTATCTTCTTTAATTTCATTTTTTTCTAAAACTTCATGTAAATCTTTTGTTTCTTTCTCTTCTATTTGTAAATTTTCTATTTCTTTCTTGGTAAATTTCTCGGTTTCTTGTAAATTTTCTGTCACTTCTTGTGAATGTTCTGTTTCTTCTTTGCTTTCTATTTGTAAATCTTCTGTTTCTTTTTCGGGTTGTTTTTGTAAATCTTCTGTTTCTTCCTCGGTTTCTTTTTGTAAATCTTCTGTTTTTTTCTCAGTTTCTTTTTGTAAATCTTCCGTGTCTTTCTCAATTTCTTTTTGTAAATCTTCCGTGTCTTTCTCGGTTTCTTTTTGTAAATTTTCTGTGTCTTTCTCGGTTTCTTTTTGTAAATCTTCTATTTCTTTCTTGGTTTCTTTTTGTAAATCTTCTGTTTTTTCTTCAGTTTTATGATCGTCATCAAATTCTTTCATAACAAGTTTTACATCAACAACATCTTCTACTGCTTCCTTTTTGGAAGAATCAATTTTATTTTCTATATCATTTGTATCTGCATGATTATTTATGTTCAAATCTATTTCATTTTCCAACAATTCTTCCTCATCATCTTCTACCGTAATTGCTATTGTTTCAGACAAATCTTCTGACTGATCATCCATTACTGTGCTTAGTCCTAATATTGTTTTTGTCAAAATTTCAGTATTTAATTTCTGTAATTTTAATTCTGGTTGTTTATAGTGAGTCAATTTATGTGTCAATTCTGTAAGTTTATTTTCATAACTGGCACCACATTCGTCACACACATATGTTTGAGTCTCAAATATATTTTCAGAATTTAAGGATTGTAATTCTTGAGAAGTAACTGCAGAAGATTTTATGAGTTTCTTAATATTAGTTTTTTTTCTTCGTACATTCTTTTCAAGGCCTTTCTTCTGATTTGTATCATCATCAGATATTTCTATAGTAGATGAAGTACTTGTATATCTTGATCGCTTTCTCTTTAATATTACACCTTCGTTTGATGATTCATCATTTACATCTATGCTTTTCATTATAGGAATACCACTTAAAATAGTTTTTAATCTCTTGCGATTATGTTTATTGTCGACATCTGCGTCGGATAAGGATGAACCAGTTGCTCGTTTATATTTTGTTAAAGTTCTTCCTTGTCTTCTTGTAACACGAGAATCTGTATCACGTGTATCTCTCTTCTGTGTAATTTTTGTATGTTGTGTTGCTGTTGTCTGTTGCTGTTGAATGTTTGTATTCAACTGTTCTAAATTAGTTTCACTTACTTCTTTGGCATCAGACTTGTATTTCTTATTAGGTACATCTCCATCACTTGTGTCCTCATCTGCAGTCTTTAAACTTTTAACAGAACGTTTTTGATTCTGTTTCCCTACATCATTTCCTACGTTATTGATTGTTTTATTAGATTTATTTTTATTTTCTAAATTTTTGTCTGTTACAATATATGTCTTATTACCTTCATCATCTTCATCAATCCTATAAAGTTTTTTCTCTTTTATATCAATATCTTTTAATACATCTTTTAGAAAAACTGTACAAAGTTTGATTTCAGTGGAATTTTGTTGTACTTGTTTTTCAGTTTTATGAATGTCCATATTTTTCCAACAATTTTTACATACAATATCCAGTTTTCCAGTTTTCTGAGTCTTGTACATGTCATCGTCAGTTTTAATAGAACTATGACATTTATTACAAACTTGTAATTTTGTTTTTTCGTTTAATTTGTTATTTCGAGATCGTGTACGAGTCATTTCACCAAAATCACTCGTTGATTCATGCAATGTATGTAAATTTATTCTAGCAGAATCAGTAGTGGTAGTTTTGCGACTAACAACAGCTGTTTTTATCTATAACAAAAAAGTAAATTTAATAAGGATTATATAATATAATCAATATAACATTATATAACACTACCTTTGGGAAAATTAATTGATCAACTTTGTTTAAATTTGTTTTCTTATTGGCTGTATCTTCTAATCTCATTGCAGTTTCTTCACATATATTCATTAAATCTATCAATACATCTATTACATATCGACAAGGTAAACATATGAATTTGTTTTTCTGAATGTTTCCAATTTGCTTAAAAATATAAAAATCATGTTACTCCTCTAATAATTTTAAATGCAATTAATAATATATAATGTATTTCATACCTCTTTATCAAAAATTTCCTGTATTTTATGAAATGGGTTATATTGCAACTTCTTCTCTTTACTAAGATCAAAGATGAATTCGTTTTTTGCTGGTTCACAACATAAACCACAATGTTTGCGAACATTTGGTTTTTGCTTTTTTTTAGCTCTTATATACTTTTGTACAAAAGAGCTGCATTGATTCAATTCGTATGCACATTTGTGACAAATTTTGGCTGGCAATTGGTCTGCTCTTGGTATCTATATAAATAACAATGGTTAATAAAAATATATAAAAATAACATAAAAATCAATAAGCATAAAAAGAACAATATAATAAAACACAAAGATTGACACATATAACAGATTCAAAATATCTCATGACAGTTTATATGATTGATTATTGATGATTCAATTATCTTATGAAACTATAACATATTTATTATATTTAATTTTATAAAGGAGAAAACGGGAAATAAATAAATTTGTCTTAATACTAATATTATTAAAACCAATAACATATATTTAATTCATATATTTAATGTAAGTGTATTTTAAAATAAAATTGAATATATTATGAATATGCTATTAACATATTATCAATAAAAGCAATATTGCTAAGTTAGAGTTTAACTGTTAAATTATCATAAAGTATGGAAACATTGTATAATATCTTGTTAAATAATAGAACCATGATCTTTTGAACACTCTGCAAAATAGTATTAATCTCACATCATTAAAATTTCTGTATGCAACATTAACCAAATAGCTCTGTGTAACATCTATTACAATGTCTCCAAATTAATGATTTAATAAAATATATATTAGTTATTTACAATGGATCATTATTATAATACATCACACTAATAAATCTGTTTCTTATACTTAAATGTAATTATAATGAAATGAATTTAAGCACTTTGTTGGAATATTTACGTTATTCCATGTGCACAAATATAACGCACGCTCAGACATGCATTAGCAAATTTAACTCGGTTCGAATATCTCAATAAATTAATAATTTCAAGCACGCAGTTTTTCTTTAGAAAATTACCTTAACAAATGAACAAATCTCAAATTGGTCATAATATTGTTGTTTATTGTCCGTCGTAACATCCAGGAAAACACCTTCATCGCTTGCACAAAGAAAACAACACTGTCTGGACATATTAATATACAGAACTTAAAGATCAAAAATCGGTTATTTAGGAAATAAACTAATCAAATATTTGAAGATGTCAAATATAAATCTGAAAAAGGATTGCATCAAGTAACAAAATTCAGTAAAACGTAATAGATTGGCGGTATTCGAACTAAGATGGCGCACAACATACATTGTATGTTATGTACCAACATGTCGATGCGCCAAAAGGATGTATATTATTTTGATCGTTACATTTGAAATTTCGAATGTCGCTTAAATTTTACTTATTAGCAATGAAATAAGATAGAAGATATTCTAGAAGGTAAATAATTATTATTTTCTCTCAAGATTTTCTTTATTAAAGTAATTTTACGATCTTAAATATTCATAACGTTTTTATTTCATCAAGAATGTGCAAACTTAAATATTTTGGTCAATTTATATATTATATCTATCAAAAAACATCGATAATTCCACTTTATATTTATTGTTCACGTTGAGATAAATGTGACATGATGTATTCCTGATATTGTTGTATGGAAACTGTTAAATCATTTCTTATTGACCTGAGAAATAAACATATTAAATAACGAATATTTTATTTATTGCAACAAGAGAATTTTAATAAATCAATCACCTGATAAATTCTGTCATATTTTTAGAGAATTCGAAAAAATCTTGCATATAGATATTTGTAAAATCCATGAAAGTTTTCTTAATGATACCATTCGTTTGTTCATTTTTTGGTTTTGTTTCTTCCAGCTTTGGTTGTTCAGTCGGATCTTTAATGCCGGTCATTATACTTAATTGCTAAACAGGAAAAAATTGAGTGAAAAAATGACTAATTCCTTTGATGTCAATAAAATATATCATAATACAGTCGAGAGAGAATATTCCTCTCCTAAAAGTCATGCAATGATTTATAACGGTAAGTTTCACTTTAACGAATTCAAAAATCACGCGGGAAACATGAAGACATGAATACACGTGGGTGGCATGACATAAGAGTCAGACATATTGAGTATTTACAACGAATTCATTGTCAGTATAACATATACACGTTATATTTTTAAAAGTATTTAAGAACAGTTGTATTTGCATATAAATTCAGTCCTCGTAATGCATTATGTAATAAATTGTAAACAGTGTTAAAAGGTTTATAATAATAACAGATTATATACTTGTATAATTACAATGAATCGTTATTTTAATGAGAAGATTGCTTCTAGAGATATTTGCTTAATGTATATTTCATTCCTCGACATCAAACACATGACTAAAATTTTTCTAATAGAGAACTGCCAAGTAAGAGCACCATTGCGATTCCACCTTCATGTAGAGGATTTATTACGAGAATTTAATACGCACACGATATGCAATACACACAATAGCCGACGGTCGGTCGATTCTATTTTGCATGATCTGGGCCAGAATTATCACCGATTTAACGAAGGTAGAAGTCACTATAAAAGCCGACAACGAACGCAGACCAACGTTCCTTGTCCTGCTTCGCGCGGTACTATAGTTTCTAAATTTAGTGATTGCTCGTCTACGAATTATTGTTTTCGTCGATCTGGTTAGTCCAACCTAATGGACTACTGATCGAACTCAGGGTTAGCAGTTTCTGCGCGCTCGCGGTTCTATTCATCGACGCGCGCATTTACGCGGGAAAAGTTTTTAAGTTTAAATAAAAAAGCGTGTGTATCGAACGTCGCATGAACATATTTCAAAAACATTAGACAATGAAAATATGAATCTTGCTTTTGATCAGACACTCGACTCGTAAAAAACAATTTGTACTATTTGTTTTTTCTTCGACTGGGTATTATTAGCGTTCGCAGCAATGTCACGAAGCACAGCTTCTACGGCTTCCTCCCATTCTTGATCTTTCGAATCTTCCCGATTGAAAGAAGTTGACCACTTTAAGCGTGGCATTGATATTACTGTCAAAACTTTTCTAAAATTAGCAATGATATAACAATTTTTCAAAAAATTTGTCATAATTATAAATCGTGCAACTCATCAAACAATAATTACCTGAGATCTGAATGTAGCGCGGACATATCTCCACCAGCTTGTTCACCTAGTCGACGAATAGTTTCTGCCAGTGGTCCACTAAGTCTCTGCAATCTTCGCCACGATTGAGCATACTGACGTCTCACAAGTTCAATAATGGTACTTGTTAATGCCAAACCAACCAAGATATAAAGAGTACATAATAACGTGTACTTTGGCTTTTCTGCATAAAAAAATGATAATAGGAATTACGCGTAACAAAACATTGTCCTATGCGTCGCGGGTTTACGCGACCCTCTGAAATTTCTTTTAACTGTAACCAACACATGTGTCAATATTTACTCGGTACTAAATCACCGAATCCTATGGTAGTCATCGTAACAAAACAAAAATAAAATCCATCGAAAAAATTCCAATCATCTTCCCATAACATGAACATGCCTGCACCGCAGGCAAGATACAGAAAAAGTAAAATGATTGCTGCAAATGCTCCTGTAAAACATATACATATATATGTATAATGTTTTCTTTTTATACAAAAACTTATACATTATTTTATATAAAAAATATATAAGAAAACGACGTAATTATATCGAATACATAGTTAATTGTTATTTTGATCTTTCCATTGTATTGGACAATTTAAATGGTTTAATCAAACTTACCAAGTGATCGTCTTCCGGCTAGATTTGTCGGAATGCAGGAGAAAGAAAAGGAAAACGGAAGTTTCGATTTTAGAGTTAAACCGATTTTAACTACACCTCCGGCGAATAGTTTCCCCCAATCAGCTATTACTATTAGCGTCAAGGGTATACCAACGAATGCGAATAAGATGCAGAACATCCTTCCCCCGTTAGTAGATGGCACAACGTTCCCATATCCTTAAAACGCCAAAAAAAAAAGAAGAAGAAAAAAGAAGGGAAGAACAACCAAACAAACAAACGCATAAAATTTATTATGACTTATGAATTTTGAGTATTTAAAATTATATATTAATTATATCGAGAAACTGTAGGCAATACAGATTTATGTGGATTTATGAATTTCAATTGCACGTTTAATTGTTATTCATTACCAATTGTAGTAAGAACAGTGCTTGCAAAAAATACGGCCTGAAGGACACTCCATCTTTCAGTTACGATTGGCGGTAAATCTGCCGCATCTCGATTTTCTTGGTCTACAGTGTCTGTCACGAAAGAAATCAAAAAACCACCCTGCGCTGCTTCCTGAACTGCCTCCTCGTAAGCACGTAATTTCACGCTGACCTGTCAATTAATCTTTGTCTCTCATCCTTTCTAACCATTCAAAAACTATTTCGCACATTTTAAACATGTCAATCCGATTTTAACAATGATTTGTAAAATGAACGGTATTACGAGTCAAAATTCCGAAATGTATCGTCAATGATGAAAATATCGACTTACTAATGTGCGCAGATTTGACACATCGGTATTGTTGGAAACGGCATTAATAAATGAATATCTTTCAGCGCGTAAATTGGCGCGCAAAATTTCCAAACGCGTTAACTCTGCTGGAAGTTCGATATGCCGAAAGACCTGTCAATAGAAATTATAATAATAATCATACTTCTAGCGAGTTGGTTGTATAATTGATATATTTCCTATATATAATGTCTTAAAATTGCATAGCTCTAATGCAAGAAATTAATGTCATTTACAAATGACAATTAATTATACTTGTTTGTTAATCTGTAGAATTATACTTGGCTCTTAGTGGTTGGTTGTTCAATATCATTTTACATACTTCAAATGCACGTTCGGTTTGCATTTTGATAATATCGTTCGTTATTTTATTTTGCGAGGGGAAATGTGCCGAATTGTTTCTAATATTATCAGATAATATTGTTGCAAAAATATATGATGTACGATATATTAATTTCCGAAGAATAACAAACTAAAATAGGAACAATATATACAAATATTTAACAAAGGAGGTTAGTATTAATCGCATCGAGTCATGCGATTGGTCCATTGCTAAAAATAAAGACACCAATTGGAAATCCAGCTCTGCGTTGTTATTTCTGTAAATATTGCATTCTATAAACTTACGTAAATAGTTAAAGAAGTTTGAACATACTTTGGTACATTTAAAGGCATGCAGTCGAATCATTTATCATTAAAATTTTTCTGTGGATTTTTAGATGATCCTTTCAATACTTATAAAAGACTAACGACTTACGAAAGATTATTTTTTCTATATTTAACAATACTTTTTACATAATTACCTTTTTAAAAAAATAGAATAGCGTTATTTGTTCAGTATTCTTTTCTTGTGCATATGTTTAAAGGTTTGACTTACCAAACCACCAATTGCTGTGTAAAGCATCAAGGCAATCAACAATCCTACGTGACCAGCGATCGACTTGATTTTTTGTATATATATTTTTTGGAAAAATCTTCTTTCTTCAGTAGTTCGTTCGGTATTTCCTTGGACAAATCCCACCGATAAATTCGACTTTTTAATCGACATTTTAAACACACGAGTTTTAAAGAGCATGCAACTGCTTCCTATACTCGAGGAAGACTGATTGGGATCGCCCGAAACTTCTACAATCACTTCGGTTATTTTCGTATAGAAGAGCGAAGGAACTGTAGTCATAAAGTTTTATCCAGAATTTAAATTTGTCAGGCATCTTTGGGAAACACGATTAGTATTTAATTTTCATACGTGGCGCCTATAGCCAGATCATTATTATATCTATTCTTGTTATATATAAATGATTAAATTCAAGATTATTTAGTATAAGTTTCCTAAATGTCCAATTTTCAAAATATATTCTATAAGAAATATATTTTAATTAACAACTTAAACGTACCGAAATTTTTAATTTTTTCAACCGCAATCATAATAAAATTTAATATGAATACAATTACGCATCATTTCAGATTTGAAATTGCAATTAAATTGTAATTTAAACTGACTGTAATAGAGCGTTCATTTTATAACAGAAATAAATAAAATGAACAGGTATAAGCATAGACGAAATACATTCCTATCCGTCAGTGATATAAGCATTGACTAAATATTGAGTAGATCAAACATAAAATGAGAATCGTGAATCAGAGACTGAAATACCGACTAAGTCAAAAAACACTGGTTATTTGGCGCAACCTACGCTTAGTCAACGGTGGATTGGAGAACTATAGAACAAGGAAAATTCAAACGCAGAGAAGTATAGAAGAAACTAAACATAATCAAAACAAATAAACCAGATAAATAATTGTCGAATAATTTTTAGAAATATAGAAAATCCTTTAAATGTCATAAATGAATTATTGAAAGAAGCTTTAGATTACAGTTTGAACATAAATATAGAACACCAGTCTCCTTTCTCAGGAACCCTGAACAAACTAACACAAGAGCCAGATATCCTTCAAGTTAAATACCGGGAAATGCATTCAATAGGAACAAAGAGCGGGTCTCGTGCATAGTCACCTCCTCGTGGTGAGACCTGGTAATTGATATCATTTTTGCAAAATAAAACGACATCAAGCTGAGAACTGTGCAACTCACAATTCACTTCACATAATGCAAAATTCCTTCACATGATACAGTGAACTGGACTGTAAAAATCATTAGTTCATAAGTAAATTACTGGAAAAGAAGATTCAAATTTTCATCGACGAGAACAACTTAATATTCAAAACTCCCTAATGTAACAACAACAACAAAATTTTAAATTTCTCTGTATCAGCAGAACTGCATCACTGCGAGTCTTGTCGGGACACCTCCTCGAGGATGATGTTCTCCTGATACCAAAGTATAATTTTCAGCCAGATGTACCATCTCGAACACGAGATATTATCGCTTGAAAATTTTTCGAAAAACAACTGTATCGGGAGAACAGCTTAACGGCGGGTTCTGTCGTGCCAATTCTTCGAGGCTCATGTTCTCCCGATATAAAATTAGAATTTTCAACCAGATGTACCATCCTGTTCACGAGATATTACCGCTCAAATATTTTTCGAAAAACCTCTGTATCAGGAGAACCGCTGAACAGTGGGTTTCGTCGTGCCACCTATTCGAGGCTCATGTTCTC